CCAGAAGGGGCGTCCTGGGGAGACACTGTTGTGGCAGATTCGCCACGGTCACGAGTGAGCAGAGAGGGAGCTTCCCGAATTCTCTGTGGGGGCCCAGACGGCCGTCCCCCACTTCCACCCAGCACGGCTCCATGGTGCCCGCGATAAACATCACACAGTCGTACCGATGGTGCTAGTTGAAGATCTGAGCTTCCAGACAAAAATTACAGACGGGCCGCGCCCTCCAGCCTGGATTGGGAAGTGGATACAGACGTTCTCCAGACCCAAGAGGGGATGCAGGAGCCCGTCCCCCCGTCCTGCAGACAAGCAGGCAGAGATGGGGTCCCCCCCCCACGGTCTGGGTCTGAATCGGGTCCAGCAACGACAGACGGTGTATTTCCCAGGGAGGTGGAGGGGCGCCTGCCCAAGGGACAGTGATGACAAGGCGCAGGACACGTCTCTCTTTCCCAGGGGAGCACGGGCCTTGCTGAGCCTGCAGCGATGGGACACCCCAGATCCTTCACTAGACGACCCCCACATCCTGCCGCCAGTTAGGGGGATGGGGCAGTGCCTGATGTCAGGGGGAGGGGGGAAGCCCATGGCGGGCCACCATCTCTGCCCCAGAGGTGTCCCCAAGGCTGGGCCTAGCAGCCGAGGCTCTGCCCGCCGCCCCAATGCCGGCAGCACCGAGTTCTGCAGCAGCCTGGGCAGCGAGGCCCTGGCTCTGCCAGGGAACCCCTGGGGGGAATCGGGTTGGGATCAGCCATCAAGGCCGCGTCCAGGCTACCGATGCAGAGAAATGTGGAGGAAACACGTTTGCAGGAAGAGAGAAGGCAGGCTCTGGGCCAGCCAGCACGCTGACCGGCCCGGGGACACGCCCGGGAAGGCTGCGGTCCAGGGAGCGGGAGGTGAGGATTGGAGCAAACGGGGCAGGCTGCGCGAGGCTGGGGTGGGACACCGGGGATGGGGCGTCCGACTTGCCCCCGAGGGCCGCGTGCAGGCCAGGGTGGCTGGGAGTGCGGCCCAACACAAAGTCGTAAATGTACTTAAAACATGATGAGGTGTTCTTTTGTGTGTGATTACATGTCACACTGTATTGAATGGGTGGCCCAAGACACCTCTTCTTCTTCCAGGGCGGCCCAGAGACGCCACAGGGCTGGACAGGCCTGTGTCCGCAGCCGTCCTGCGGCCCCTGGCAAAGCGATTGGTTCCTCGGAGTCGGAGTTGCCTCGTCTCTAAGGCCAAGACTCAAAGCGCCGACCCCCCTGGGTTTTAGTGCAGGTTCAAACAAAGTCACCGAGGGGGCGCGGCGGCTGCTGTCCCTCACGTGGTCACTGCAGATTAAGGCTTTCTCACACCTCCTGCGGGCAACTCCGACCGGAGACGTCAGGAGCACGTCAGCCGGGGGACACTGGAGCTCAGACCCCGGGGAGGGGGACGGTGCCCCGAGACACGGACGGAGCAGAGCCAGTGGGTGCTGACAAAGCAGCCTCGGTCTCTGAGTGCCGCGGCAGGGGGTGGGGGCGGGTGGCGGTCCTGACGGCAGCCCGAGACGCAGCTGGCCTCCTGGGGCCAGACAGACCCCAGGGCTCCCCTGCTCCTGAGCACAGGGGTCCTGAGAACTACACGGAGAGAGAGAGGGGGACACGTCAGCGGTTCACACCAACGTGTAATGTAATATTCCACCCCGTCCCCTTCCGGGGCACTCTGGTGCGGCACGGTGACGGTCACCGGCGTGTAGTCGGTGCCGTGACTTCCCATGATGCCTGTCGCGTGGCCCGATGACCCACCGGGCCGTCGGGGAATGTTTTTACTCTTCGAAACCTGTCCTCTCGGGCGGCTCCCTGCAGCTCCCTGCGGCCAGTGGCGGCGGGCTGCAGAAACGGCCCCTGGGGAACCTTCTCCTTCTCTGCGATCCTAACACCCAGTGGTCCCGACTGTGCAAAACGTGGCCTTCAGACGGCAGCAGAAACACTGCGCCGTGTCACACCCCGACGCCCCCTGCACCTAACCCTCCAGCTCCACGCAGACCCCCACCCCGTGGGTCGGAGCCACAAAGGGGAGGAGCACAGAGCAGACGTGGAGATCGAGTGGTTCTGAGCTCTCGGCCCCATCGCCCATTTAATCTCCTCCGACGTGTGCCTTCCCGGGAAAGATCACCAGCCAGCTGACAGTGTCCTGCATCCAGAGGAAGTGATTGTCTCCAGTTTTCCCGTCTCTCCGGTGTTTCGTGGGGGGGGCACAGAGGGCTCCCGGCTCAGGAGAGGCGGGATTCACGGAAACCAGCATCAACAAACACAGATGCCTGGGTCCTGGGGCCCCACCCCCCCACCCCCACCCCGGGTCTCCCGCCCGGGGCCAGCGGGTGAGCTAATCCGGTCTGCCTGCACCGCAGTGACCCTGGGAGGGGACAGTGGGCTCCCCAAAGGGTGTGTGGGGACTCATCAGACCATCTCCACGGTTTGGTTCAGGCTGCCTTGGTAAGAGGGGTCCCCCGGGGGTGTCGCTGGAGCCTGGGGCATCAGTCCCCCTGTGCAGAGCACCCCCCGCCCCCCCACAGACACAGAGCGGGCTGGTTCGTCGTCAGCCAGTGCAATGCGTGGAAGGCAGACAGCGGTCCCTATATAAACGGTCCTCCGGGACGCACCTTCCCGCCTTGTCGTCCGAGGGTTAGGGTTAGGAAGGGGGTGTTTGGTATTTATGCTGGGGTGTCTGGGCAGAGTCCACAGCCCAGGTGTGAGTCGGAGCGTCCAGACAAGACATGCCCCAGGGCTGTGGGATCTTGTGGGGCGTGTGGTCACCAAGGGGCAAGTTCTCTTCGATGAATTAATTCTTCATCCGCCACTACAAAATGCTAAGTCACTTTCTCCCGGGGCCTCCCCTGCCTCCCCAGACCCCTCAGGACCCTCAGGACCCCCAGGGCCCCGAGGACCTGCCCTCTCCCTCCCCCTGCCAGAACGCCCAGGAGCCCACCGTCCACGATTCTCCGAGGGGCTCTGACCTCCCGCCGAGCCTCATGCCCAGTTCTGAGACTCTAAGAACATTTCCGCTTATTTACTTTTTACTGGCTCCTACTGCGGACTCATTACCTACTCACAGGACCAACGCCTCGGGGATGGCGTTGCTGGTCCGGCTAACCAGGCCGAGGGCCCCAAGCCACCCCCCACCGGGCTCCCCCGCCCCCCCAACTGCACGGCCGGCCCGTCTCGTTCCCCGCTCAGTCATGGTGGCTTTTAGACCTGCCGCCCCGTCCCCACTCGCTGCCTGAACTCGCAGCACCCGAAGGCCGGCCAGACTGGGGCGCACGGGTGCGCTGAGACCCTCGGGAGACGCCGAAATGCTCCGTGGGCATGGTCACCGCGTCCCCTGGGAGCGAGTTCGGGCCCGGGCTGTGGACACTGCCCCCCCCCCCCCCCAGCCCCGAGTGCGCTCTCACAGATCACACCGCCTGGAAGGCGAGTGCACACGCGCCGAATGCGGGCTGTTCCCGGTTGGCAGGATTCCAGGTGGTTTCCATGACCTTGTAAACCGCCTTCAACTCCGTCTCCTAACCCGCTCTCGTAAACACGTAACACGCAGATAACAAACATGTCGCCTACGGCACAAGCCTGAGCTTTCACCGTGCCAACGCGCCGCTCCGACACCTTCCGTCCCAACAGGTGCAGACGAACACCCCCTTTTCTTACCTCCGCCCCACCCTCGCGGGTCTCCCCGTCTCCCAGGAACCCGCGGCGCCGGGTCCCCAGTGAAGAGGAGCTGAATGAACGAGGGTTCGGATGGTCTCCAAAGCCCCCCCATCTCCACCTCACTCACCATACTCCTTCCTGTGAGTGCCACCTTCCCCGGCCACCCCGGCCCGTGTGGGGGGCACAGATGCCCTGTCTCCCTCCGATCAGAGGGACAGTCGCCTCCCCAGTCCCACCCTGGAGCCCTCGGCTCTCTCCTCAGTCCTCCCGCCTCTGGTCTCCCTCGATAAAACCCGTGCTCCCCGAGACCCCCCTCTCTCTCCCAGTTTTGAGTCAGCTCACCCCAGCGTCAGGAGCCGACTCGGAAGCCGGGGGGAGGGCGATGGGGCGGTGAGCTGGTCTAAGACCGTGCGTGCGTGCTGAAGTGTCGGGGGCGTTTCGGGAGCAGTGCGCCGGCGCGTCCCGAGGCAGGGCAGCCGCTGGCCGAGAACTGAACAGGAAGCTGGGGATGGCCTCGCAGCCCCGCGACCGCAGGGACGTCACGGGGCCCCTCTGGGCTGTGTCTCCTACACAAGTTGGATCTCGAGCGTTTCTGGACAGGATTCTCTGACCCGGGAAGCACTTCGAGATGAGCCCCCGGAGGCTCAGACCAGACACAAACGTCATCCCTGGAGACAGCAGCAGTCTGGAGGGCCGGCCGTGCCGTGGCTCGTGTCTCTGCGCTGTGACCGCGCCTGCAGCCGACCCAGACCAGCGACAGGACACGGGCCACGGGCCACGGCCCCTGCACCAGAACCTGTCTCAGGACCACGCCCCCCTTTGCCTCCAGGTCCACTCTGCTTTGTCGTCTCAAAAACCCCTAAACAAGAACAACAGACGCCGTCCGCATTGCAGGAGACGGATGGGGCTGCACTGTCCCGGTGATCTGGCCACATTCTAGAAGCACCTTTCAGCTCCTTCCTTGGCCCCTCTGTCCGGCGGGGTTGGGGTGCGGGGGACCATGGAGCATGAGACCAGGGAAGGAAGGCACGCCCGGCTGTGTCTCTCCCAGGGCTGGTTGCTTAGCAACGCCCCCATCTCCGTGGGAGACAGGATGACTCCGGGAGGCCACAGGGAGGACTCATTTCTCAGGAAGGAGCAGCCCCATTTCACCAGACGCGTGTTTTCTCAGAGCGATAATGAGATTATCGCCGCAGTGGCTGGGGGACCTGCTTCTGTGGCCAGAGGGAGATGGGGAGACACAGGAGGCAGCCAGAAAGGCCAGGCTGTCCCCAGGGGCCGGGCGGAGGGGGGCGGGAGGCTCTCCTGTCCCCCCGGGGGGCTGGCAGGACTCACCACTGATCCACTTTGCCTCGGGGTCGTGAACCTTGAACTCGTCACTGAAGAGATCCTCCACTGTGACCTTCTTCTTCTGAGACAGACTGTTATCTTCCGCTGGGGGTGGGGGAAAAAACGAGGCAAAGAGTTACACTTTTTCTTCCCTGGTAAGAGAGGGACACAAACATTCAGTCACCATTCCGAACCGAGATGGATGGTGACAATGTAATTTCCACAGACACACGCTGAACGAAAAAGTCAGCCACACTTTTCCTTTTTTTTTTTTTTAATTGAAGCATCAAAAAGGACGGCCAGGGGACTGGGATTCTGCGAAAGGCCCCGCGTCACGCCCTCCCCGCGCCAGACGCCGACGAGCCCGTCTTCTAGGTCTGAGGGCGGCCGCCCGAGGAGCAGCGGGGGGGGGGGGGCGGGGGGCAGGGGGGCATGTCGAAAGAGGAGGGAGCAAATGTCCAGAAAGAGTCTCGGCCGCACCCTGCGCAGTCCACTCAGCAGCTGTTCAGCGCCCACCACCGGCCGCCCCGGGGCTGCTGGGGGTTAGGACACCACAGATGTGTTTCCTGGGTGTTTGTTTATTCTCCGTCCGCCCCCTTGTCCCCGGCTGTCTATGGCAGGCGGGTGGGGGGGGTGTTAGTCCTTGTTCAGGGGGAGCCGCACCCCAGATGTCCACAGGCAGGGGGCCAGATAGATGCCGCCCCAAGTGCCCTGGACCGCAGTGCTCGGGAGTGAGCCCCGGGCCTGAGCCCTGATGGCGCATGGCCTGCAGCCACCCCAGGTGGGGGGAGATGAGTCGTGAACGGCACGGGCCTGGGGGACCCGAGAAACCGGGCAGCTGTCTTCCGACGTCCTGACCTGGACACCTGGAGGGCTCCCAGACCTGCCTCTGACGAGGCTGCACCCATGCACGGCACAGACACCCACCCGCCTCCTCTTCAAGGGCGAAGGGCCACCCGTGCATCTGCCCGTGAGCCTGCACTCATGGACTAAAGCCGCGAGGCAGTGCCTCCAGCCAGCCCCGCCGGTCACGTTGTCAATGAGAGACTCTTGATTTTCACCGTTTCAGGTGCAGAGCGTGCGCCCAGGTGCCTGGCGATGACCCTGTCCTCTCGGACGGAAGGCAGAGGCAGGCACCCTGCTGTCCTGGGAGACTCGGGGTCCTTGTGCCCCAGCTCTGGGCTGTGCTGCTGTGCCTGGCGACCCTCGGTGCTGCGGGAGGTGTGTGGGGCCCTGTGCGCCCTGCAGGGAGGGGGTCCGGGTCGGCGCGGCTTCACATTGGGGTGCTCTGTGGTGTCTGCTTCTCTCTGTAACGCCTGGTGGCCGAGCCAGCTCCCGCTGCCTGGGCGGACGCAGGGCGTGTTGGAACATTTTATGTCAAAATCTGTGGCTGGTTGTTGGGAATGGATGCCGATGTCTGTGGGATCAGCTAACAACACGAGCATAAGTAATCTCGGAGTGGAATCGCCGAAGGTGCTTCTGGGACTGCAGCCCCCGGGTGGAATGGCTAAGAAAGCTCGTTGGTCTGAGACAGCCAGGGCCCGAATAACAAGGAACTCGTTGTAGCTCTGGATGGGTTTTAAGCAGAGAGAGTCGGCTTGACCCAAATTCCCCAGATAATCATGTGGTGACACAGTTTCACAGTTTGGTCTCTGGCTTTAGCCAGTGTCAGGCTCTACAACAGAAATGTGCATTTGCGTCTGAAACTGGGAATACTTTAAAGGGATTATCCATTTAAAAATTTTTATTTATTATATTTAGGGAGAGGGGAAGGGAGGGAGAGAAACATCCATGCGAGAGAGCAACACTGATCGGCTGCCTCTCGCGCGCCCCCAGCCGGGGACGGAACCCACAACCCAGGCATCTGCCCTGACCAGGAATCGAACCAGCGACCTCTGGCTTTGCAGGATGATGCCCAACCCACCGGGCCACCCTGGTCAAGTCGCAGAAGACTCTTTACAAGCATACACCGTCACGGACCCACTTTGCTGGCCGTCACTAAACCCTCCAACACGGCCTGTTTAAAAGGCGTTGGGCAGGTAGCTCTGTGCACGCGGGCATCTGTGTGCAGTGCGAGGAATTACCGGGAACTCACCGGAAAAACCAAAATCAGACCTGGTGGGGAAGGGGTGGTATCCAGGCGCCGGCCGTGGAACTGAGAGTTTGTGAACATTATTATGTTATTTGACTTGGGTTGTTGATTTAATGTCTTTCCTACTGTTTATACATATGTCACTTGGGCAGTACATAAGAATAAAGTCATGTTCTGACCCTAAGCACATAGTCACCCCAAAACTTAGTGTCTGAACCAGCCTACGGGTCCTCACGAGGCACCAGCGTCCCGGTCAGCTGCTTTCATTGCCCCAAACGACAGTGGCCCTTGCTGTGTGGACAAGGGTGTTCGGTGCCCCCACAGAGACGTGGGGGGAGACCACCCTCCCCCAGTGAACCTCGGGTGGGCGTGCGAGACCCCAAATGCCTGTGTCACGAGTGCCAACGCCTCTCAAACGCCCTTTAAGGGGTGACTGAATTTCCGAAATCGTCACAATCTGTCACACAGAACATACACTTTCCATCTGTCCATCGGCAGCACGTACACGGTCTCCGCAAGCATCCGCCAGCTGACGTCGGTCCGCAAACACTCAGAGCTATCTCCTAACCAGAGGGGATGCCGTGCGCCCGGAAGCAGCCGGCAGGGGTGTGTGAGCAGATGCCCCGGGGCCTGGAGGCACAACCGCGGGTGCCGAGGGGCAGGGGAGCCCCGGCGGAGGGAGAGCTGTCGGGCAGGCCGTGCCTCCTCGGACAGCCGAGCCGGCCATGCTGGTCGGTCACAGGAGGCCCGTGACAAGGCTGGGTCTGAGGGGGCGGAGGGATTTCACGTTGGAAGGTGACCAGAGGGACGACACCTAGAAGAAACAGGGCAAGCCGTGTCTCTCGGCAAGAGAAGGTGCACATTGCTTGTCATGCTACGATCTCATCGAATCACTGTGAAACCACTTGGCGGTTTTCACAGGGACTCTGCAAGGCCTCACATGACCCAGCCCGTCACCGGTTAGAACCTGGGCACCGGTACCATCTGGAACACAGCAACAAGCCCCGGCCGGGTAGCTCAGTCGGTTAGAGCACCGTCTGGGTACGCCAAGGTTGCAGGTTTGATCCCCGGTCAGGGCACATGCAAGAACCAACCAATGAGAGCATAAATACATGGGCCAACAAATCGATGTTTCTCTCTCTCAAAAATCAAAAATCAAATAAAATCAAATACAACAACAAATGCCACAAACATGATATTGAGCAATAGAAGCAGGTGGGAAAGTATGCATAGTATATGATTACATTTACACTGTAAATGTAAAAAGTATAAAACTATCCACCCAGGTCAGCAAGTTGGTTACTCTCGACTACCTGCTGTTTGCTGATGAGGGAGCTGGCTCTAGGAGGCTGTTCAGTGTGAAATTTCATCAAGCAATAATTTATACATGTATTTATTAAAAATGCATCTATAGTATACATAATATATAGTAATACATGTTTCAAAAATCATTTGCTCCAGAGTTTTAAAAAGATAAGCTTAAAACAATGAGATGCCACCGTACACCTGTGAGAATGGCCAAAATCCAGGCCCCGACAACACCAAGTGCAGACGAGGAGGTGGAGCAGCAGGAGCGCCCACTCGTGGCCGTGGGGATGCCACACGGTGCAGACACCACGGACGACGGCTCTGCGGTTCGGTATAAAACTGAACCCACTCTCCCCACGGGACCCAGAAGTTCAGCTCCTTGGTCTCCACCCGGAGGAGGGGAAGCCTTACGTCCCCACGAAAACCTGCACCCGGATGGTTAGCAGTTCTCTTCAATCCCACTGTGACCTTGCAGTCACCCGGGTGTCCTTCAGCGGGTGGCGGAGAAATAAGCTGTGGCTCCTCCAGATAACGGAACATTATTCGGCTAACAAGAAATGAGGTCTGGAGCCTCAAACAGACATGGGGGAGCCTTGCATGCAGGTCACTGGGAGAAGAACCCCATCCGGGAAGGTGACACATCATCATAGGGTTGCCGCCGCAGACACTGCGGCCAAAGGCGACACCAGTAGGCCAGCACCGAGACCAGGGGTTGTCAGGGGTTGCGGGAAAGGAGGCTGGATCAACAGAGACCAGAGGATGTTTAGGGCAGGGACGCTGCTCTGTGATGATGGATAAGACAAGCCTTGCATTGCGTCCGGCCGGACACACAGACGACCTGACACCACGAGTGACTGACTGCCCCACCCCCCAGGCCGACCGCGCACTCCGGAGACCAGGACCGGCCGGGGCGGCCCGTCACTGTATCAAGCGCACTGCTTTGGGGAGGGACACTCACGACCAGGACCCTGGGGCCTGGGCACGTGTCTGGGGGCAGGGTTTACTTGGGAAGCGTCTCCCTCCCATTCCACGTCGCCGTGAACCTGGAGTTGCTCTACGAGACAACGGCCGGTTTATAAACCCGTGAGAGTGTTATTGCAGAGCACGCTCTATGAACCGGCAGCAACCACTCTGAAGTGGGGGGAGTCGCTCACGTGTAATTATAATGGAGCCCCCCCTCCCCCCGACAAAACCCATTAGGCCGCGGCTCTGACTCCAGCAGAAGCTCGGAGCACTCCACGGAGCCCGGCCTCGCGAGCGGAGCAGGAGCTGCCCTGCAGCAGAGTCTGACTGGCGAGCCGCAACTGCCAGTTTGCCGGATTTGTCTTCTCAGTAAAGCCTATTGAGTCCCATTGAACTGATTGTTTCTTTAAAAGATAAGCCGAGAGTGAGCCGTGCCGTTAGAGACGCGAGACCTCTCAATCAAACAGGAATGCCGTTTCAATGGCATAGAAATAACCTCTGCGTCAGGCTGCTCCCCGAAAGATTAGGGACCCATCATCGCCTCTGACCTCTGCTCGGCCCTCACCCCAATCTGCCTTCCGGATGACGTCCAAGGCCTTTCACAGATATACCCGCCCAGGGTGTTCTAGTGTTTTCCATCGCACACCCTGACCCATCTCGAACGTGAAAACCCACGGAAAATTGAACGCCAGGGCTGGGCTCACACAAACACCACCCTGCTGGTTCCCCAGCTCCCGCCCCAGTGACTGTGGCTCCGGAGACGGCCCAGCGGAGTCCTTTCCCCAGGAGGCCCGCTCGGGAGCCGGCCCGGCGGGCCCGGGCTGCCTGGGACCTGGTGGAGGCTCGTGCCGCCTCTCTGAAAACAAAAAGGGAACTCGGACTGTGTTATTGCAAAGCGGAACCCAGGAAAGAGCGCCGACCTGCAAGGGAGAAGTGCGCGAGAACGCCGGAAAGGGCACGCCCTCATCGGGACTGTCCGTCTGCAGCAAAGAGGGCCTCGGACGCTTTTAGTTTGATCTTTGCGACCTCAGTCGTGCGTAAGGGGGGAGATACTCAGACGGAACCTCGGGACAAGGCGGTGGTTGCTCAGAACCATGGCCGCGGGGCCCATCAGGGGCACAACCCCGCATGACGCCACGCACCAGCGCGGAGACGGGAGCCCGCAGGTAATCGGAAACATTGTCACCCAAAGACAGAAGCCACTGCGCTCAGAACAGACTTCTGGGGACCAGGGGAAGGCAAATACTACGATCTGAATTTCAATAAACCGGAACACAAGACGACAAATGGGTAGCCCTGGAGAAGGACTAGGTTTTAAGAAGTGGGATGATTTGCTTTCCAAGTTGTTGTAAGGAAAACGGAAGCCAGCCCGGGTGGAGGGAGCCCGATGTGGCGGGAAGGCACCCATGGTGGCGCGCATGCGCCCAGGGGTTGTGACCCCGAGGACCGTCCATCTTCCAGGCTGAACTTCAGCCCTCCTGCCCCTGTGGAGGCCACTCCCGCCCTGAGGTCCACTCCCAGTCCGAAGGTCAACGATTCTGTTATTGGCACGACGTGGTTGGTGGTGACACTCTGTGCAATTCTCCTTGGGACCCGTACTCGCCCTCCCGGGGGGCCTGTGTCTCTTCCTTCCCCACAGTGCGCCGGCACGGAGCTGCATGTGCTGCGGGCCCCTACCAGGGACCGTGAATATTTGATCAGATGGACGGGCACTACTGTGCCACGTGAGGGGGCTCTGCCGCGCGGGACCGGGGATGACCCGGCTTTCTCCTCTGCCTCCCAGCGTCTTGGATCCCGAACCACGGCCACTGCTCTATCCAGAAAGGAGGGAGGACGCGGAAAGCCCGCGGTGGGTGGGACACGGCCCCAGAGCAGAGCGTCCCGGACAAAGAAACAGAAGCTGCAAAACCCCGGCAGAACTGAAGGGTTACGGTGCCAAGGCGGAGCCGCCTTGAGTGTCAACAGAATAGATGAAGGAATGGCGGTCTTCCCGGCCTCTTCTGGAACCGAGGGAATCCCCCAGAGCCCTGCCGCCCCGCCTCCCCGCCCCGCCGCTCTGGCTCATTGTCGCCCTGACAGCGGGCTGTCGGCATCCGGAGATAGCGGTTTACGACGACTGTATTCTCCGTTCACTGCGGGCGGAAGGCCGCTCCTGCAGGGCCCGGACGGCATGCCAAACACTCCCGGGACTAGGGGCTGCCCTCGGGAGACGGCCGCTGACACGGGCCCCCAGACCGCCGAGAAGACAGAGCGACAGCCCCCTGTGACTCGGAGTTGGGCACGTGGGGGGAAGGGTCCCGGATGTGGTCCCCAGCCCCGTCCCTTGGGCCAGACGGTCCCACCCAGCCCCGCCACCCTGGGACACCACGGAAGCAGCTGCGGCCATCTAGCTCTTCTCCCTTAAAGTGACCACAGCCAGAGGCCACAAATGCTCCCGGGGACTCGGGAGGGTGGGTCGCGCCACACTTCCTAATGCCTCCTTCTTTTCCAAGTCCCCGTGTGAGTCAGGGACAATGACAGAGTCCAATCTGCACCGGTCACTTTGTCATGGAGAGCACGGCTGGGTTCCGAGGGCAGCAGAGGCACACAGGGCACCCTCCGCCCATACCAAGGGACACAGGCCACCATCCTAGTCACGGAAAACTCGGAGCTGCTGGGGTTCCCAGCTGACCTAAATCCCCAGCAGCTGCGGCACGAACTAGGACACGTCCCCCGTGGGTCCCAGGGCGGTGGGCGGCTGCGTGAGTGTGCAAAACCGAGTTTCTCCTTGTATGGTTCCTCGTTAGCGGTTGGATGACTTTCACGGCCTGCTCTGCCCCTCCCTGCGCTCGCCTCCATGCTTCCCCCTTCCTCGCGGCTCGGTCCTGTGCCTCTCAGCAGGTGCGCCCACACTTTCCCGACCGGCAGGTGTGTTCCACAGCGTACAGAATCCTGCGCCCAAACGTCTCAGGCGACCCCGGCTTCCTCACCAACCCCGCACTGGGTGCGGCCACAGGCTTTTTTCAGATTTGCCCTTGAGGTGGTTCCAATATCAGGCGAGTTTTGGGGGCGCCTTCGTCTAGAAGTGACCATCACCCCTTTAAATTCTCTTTACCACTTTCTCAGCGTTGCTTACACTCACGGGTTCACAGAGGTAAAATTCACGTTTCGGGAAGACGTGTGTGTCCCTCCCCCACGACCCGAGTCCAGAGTGCTTTCATCACTCCCCAAAGAAGCCTCCTTTGGCATGTCAGCATGGGCTCGTGGATTGTAACAAAACGTGCCATCTGGTGGGGACGTCGGTGACAGGGGAGGCTGTGCCTCTGAGAGGGGGCGGGGCACATGTGGGAAATCTCTGCATTGTCCTCTCTCTCAGAGTTGCTGGGAACCTAAAACTTCTCTAAAAGTATTATGTGCAAAAAGGAAAGCTCACACCTATTAGCGGTCACTTCTGTGGCCCCCGCCTGCAGCCTCTGTTGGCTGGTGACCACCGATCGGCCTTCCGCCCGTATGGATTGGCCTCTTTCGGAATCCAAATGTCTACCACCTTCCACAGGGCATAACGCCGCCCAGGGCCGCCCGTGTCGCGGTGTATGGCAGCCTTTCGTCCCTTTCCGCAGCCGGGCGCGGGGAGACTGCGTCTGTTCGTCTGCTCAGCGGGCCAGGGGCGCTTGGGTTGTTTCCACTTCCTGGCTCCTGGGAAGGGCGCCGCTGTGGACGCCCGTGGACAAGCTTCTGTGTTCCTGCCAAATCCTCCCCCGCCTCCATGGAGATGACCATCCCCCCTTTGTGCCACGGACACAGGTGTGCCACCCGTGCCTTTGTAGGTGGGAAACCGACTTTCTCCTCCTGGGGCGAATCCTTCTGGCCCTTTTTACAGGTGGCACTGGGTTCAGCTTCCTAGGATCTGGGTGAGACGGACGTTGGCGTCCAAATTCTCGAGAAACGCTAGCCCACAGCGGCCCTCTCCTGCGGTAACTGTATCCAGTTGGGTTCAGGGTGAAGGTTGCTGTCTTTCCACTGAAGTTTTGGGATGATGGTTTAATCATACACCATGATTTTCACTTTTTGTACCTGTTAAAGTTTTTCCGACTGTGTTTACCCTTCTTTTATTTCATCAGGAGCATCTAATATGTATGTTAGTCTTAGCCCACACTCCTGTAGCGTTGTTTTAATAATTTTCTCACTGCGTCCTTGATACAATACTCAGAATGCTGTGCAGTATCTACAATGATTAGATGTGTCAGGCTGCTGGCTCTCAGCTCATCAAACGTGAATAAGTGGGTGTGAATTTTCATCGAAGCCTTCCGCCCTGGTCAGCAGTTACATGTATAAACAAACCCAGAGACTAGAAGGTGGCCCGTGCTCGCTGACAGCACTCAACGCCACTTTACCACGGGCCGCAGGGAGAACTGGAACCTGGGGAATGGACTCTGTGTCATACGTAGTTGCTTAAACAACCGGCAGGGGAAACGATGCTCTCCCCGCCCCCCCCCCGCCCCCCCGGCAGGCACGAGCTGCCCTGAGAACAGACGGAAGTACCTGGTGTCAGCAGGATGACCGAGGTGACGATGAGGGAGCAGATGACCAGGATGACCAGCAGCGCGATGGCGATCCCTTTCCAGTTCCTCTGGGGAGGGTTGCTCCCCACCAGCTCCTGGAAGCGACAACAGGAAGGAGACACTGGGTGAGCGGGATGAAGAAACGAGACACGCCCACTCCACGTCTTCCGTCGAAGCCAGGACCCGAGACACGGAACCGCGGGACGAGGCATGTTCTCCTCATCCTTAAGCGTGACAAGCTCTGTCCTCGATTCCCTGCCTTCCCTGCCCCGTGGCCAAACCTTAAGAGAGAATCTCATATTCTGTTATGCTCACAGCTTTTGTGGGAACTTAGCGCTTCTCCACTGAACAAGTTCGGTCGCACAGCGCAGGGTAAGGATGGTAGGGCTTTCTCCCCATCACGGCCCACCTGTGACCCCCAGAGCCAAAGCCACGCAGGCTCCATTCTCCAGCCCTAAGTCGTCTTTCGTCTGTCTTGGTTTATGGCCCATGGTGTGTTAACTCGAGCCTTGTCTTCCTTCTACAGCTCCCCAGACAAGGCTCCCGGGCACCCCAGGACCGTCTTCACGGGGTGACACACCTGTCCCTATGCTGGGACTTCGTCCCCTGCGGGGAACCCCATTTGCATCGGAGCAGGGGCTGGGGGTGGGAGGTGACATCTGGAGACAATGCTAAAGGTGGAATCAATCTAGGAATTTAATCAGGCATGCCGCCTGCTGAACCAAAACTTTAGTTCTTTTCCAATTATTGGGATTACGTAACTTACAGTTCGAGCTGGGATCCTGCAAGAGACCAAGGAAGTGATATTGGGAATTAATAGTAAGTTAGACACATAATACTGATGTATTCATAATTATAGTTATTAATGAGACAAGGGCCACTGGGGCTCCCCGGGGTGCAGAGAGACAGATGGTCACGCTGCAAATAGAGTTCCGCCACTTCTGCCTGCACACAGACCCCAGAATGTTCCGCCACAGCCCAGCACCCCAACACACGGTAACTCCAGGTCAGGGCGAAATAGAATGGCGACGACCTCGAAACCAGATGATGCGACGCATAAATACTTCTTTATCGAAGACTGCACATTCTTAGACCGTACCACATGGCTAAAAATCAAAATAAAGGTGATACTCAGCTATGGGATGGCAAATAATTAATACCTGACATCTAAATATTTAAGATTGATTGTCCAGGTTATCAAATTAAGAAAAATTAGACTCCAAACGACACTGGCTTAACTAGGTTAGAGGATTAAGAAAAAGTCAGCTCAAAACAACAAACATTTGCTACGTAGGTTATTAAGTAAAGGTTTTGAGAACCATTGTAGCCTGAGCAGGAAATAGTTCTGCAACTGTGTAGAAATCCCTAGCAGTATTCTTATTCACCACCCAGAATTTAATTTATCTATTACAGAGGGACTTTTTAGCACTTAAAAATAAGGCTAGCCCTGGCTCATGTGGCTCAGTGGGTTGGCCATCATCCCTCAAACTGAAAGGTCGCTGGTTCCATTCCAGGTCAGGGCACGTGCCCGGGTTGTGGGCCAGGTCCCCAGTAGGGGGCGCGTGAGAGGCAGCTGATAGATGTTTCTCTCTCGCATCAATGTTTCTCTCCTTCTCTTTCTCCCTCCCTCCCCCTCTCTCTAAAAATAAACACATAACATTTTTTAAAAGATAAGACTAGATGTAGGCATGGAATCCTCACAAAATGTTATACTGAGACAATCTCATTTCCTGTTGGATTGGGTTTTCCCATGAGAACGGCAATACCCGGAAGTGATAGGATCTTGCTGATTTGACAGCTTTTCACTTGACCCGCGATGACGAAGAAAATAAGCCCTTTTCCTCAAATTCGTGAATAGCATAAACCTCAAAGCAGTCCTATCCCTAAACCAACGTAGTGTGGACAACCTCTTGCACGCATTCCTTGAACACTCATCGGGTTGAACGCCAGGGTCACCATCCGAAGCCTAACACATCAGTACTCAATAGTCTCCAAAACTGAACATGTCAATACTCAATCCCATCCCAAACCACATGTATCAACACGCAACAGTCCCCAGAACGGAATATATCAATCAGTACTCAACACCAAATCTTCTTCCAGATCTGGAAGGACACAGTTCATATTATTGTTTCCATCAGCTCCAACAAGTGATGTGTTTTGAATTTTGTTTCTAACAAGGAAATCTGGAATTCTACATTCTATTTCAAACCCGTCTGTCAGACGTTTGGATACAAAACAGCCCAGGACTCTCACTTTCTCTCACTCTCTTCACCAGCGGGGAGTGCCGCAGCCGAACCCCCCGAGATTTTAACACCCCTGTCCTGTTTTGTTTCTGGCAGCTAGAAGTACTGGGATTCTTAATTAGGGCATACATGTGGACTTTAAATGTCTCCATTGCCTTTGTCACGTAGCTTACAGTCAGAGGGGAAGAGGGTGTGTTTGTGTGCCCTGCAGGCCTGGGCGGCCGGCCCCAGGAGCAATGCTCACACGCACACTTGGCTGGCGAGGAGAGGACGGTCCCGTGGGGAAGCGCAAAGCGACGCCACGTTAACATCGGTCAGCAGGGGTCTACCTTCTGCTTGTTGCTGGGAAGACAACGTCGCTGACGCACAACGATGAGGTATTTTGCAGAATCCTGTCTTTTTCCCACCTGCCCCCCTGTTCTCACAATCGAGTTGGTGGGGACACAAGTATACACACTCACAAGCAGGAGGAGGCAGTTCCAGGGTCCCAAGGCGCTCGGTGGGAAAAAATGTGACCAAAGCATCAGACCCCTCTCTGTTCCCCGACACGCCCCCTCTCTCGCTCCTCAGCTGCGTGAAAACGCCCTCCTGTTGCTCTGGGGGGAGTCGGGCTTGAGAGATCTTGCTCCCCTCTCTTCTCGTCTCGGCCAATCGAAGGAACCTTTCTCCACCGCCAAACACCAGTGTGTCCATCAATGCTTTGGTGTCGCCCGTGCGCGAGGCACACGAACCTGAACTTGGAGAGGTGACTCTGCAACAGTATAGCTGATGGGCTTGTAAACGCACAGCGAGGCGGCCCTCCGATGTCACCGGGTGCCCCTGCCTGGCCCACCACGCCCAGGACCGATGGCCGGGACAAGGCCGGAGACGACGAGACGGGGAGAGAGCCCACAGACACAGGGCGAGGCAAGGAGAGTGTGTTTGCAGGCGTCCGTATGGACAACAGCACACTCACTGATACATAGTCACGCCAGAGTGAATGCTGTGTTTCACACACTCACGACGGCAAACCCACTCCTGCCCCACTCGGGCGACCAGAAGACAGAGGGTTGCAGAACACATCACGTGATGCATGGCTGAAGGGAGCGTTCAGCCTCAAAAACCAAATACTCAGTTTCCGTCTATTGGGAAGGTCACGTAGAAGAGAGAGGGGACTTGCACTGTTCGACTCCTGACGGTAGAGTGAGGACGGGACACAGCTGTGTGTATCGATAAATCCTCCTTCTTTCTAACCGTTAGCACAGGACTGCCCCGCAGGACCAGGGCGGCCTCACCGGGGGGCTGGCAGGATGCGGGACGCCTGGCGGGGACCCTGGAGGGTCAGCCCCCCAGCGGGGAAGGTGGGAGGGAATCATCTTAAAAAGGAGCAACCCAGTCACATCCTGCGGACACACGCAGGATGGGAGGGAGAGCCGTGAGACGGAAGCTGCTCCCGTGGGTGGGAACGTGAGCGGGAAAGAGACGGCTCCCCCGCGCTCCCTGGGCTGAGAAGAGAAGTTCGGGCAGAGCCAACTCAGCTCTGACGACTGCACGGGGGTTGGGGGTGCAGCACGGTAACCCCAGCAGACGGGAGAGCAGAGCGGCACAGTCCTGGCTCATGTATGCCATCTCCGCGAGCTGCGGTCCAGGCGAGTTCTCGCACTAAAAAGCAGGGTCTCCGTACCCACAGGCAAGCAGAACTTCCTTACTAGACTGCATTTGCATTTGCCAAATTTCATTTTTCAGAGTGCAGGTAATTTTTTTTCCCCACAAGCAATATTCGAACAACAATAATAATAGGAAAACAATTTAAAAAGAAAAACATCACAGGCTATCTTGCTAATCCCAGAAAACACAATTTTTCATTTTCTCTGACTTTCTCTCTAGGCACATTCCATTTTCAGCGGGTGGGGCCAGAGCACGGGTGGGGCTCTAGGGACCGGATGCGGGTTCGTGGGTGTGTCTTCGAACGTCTTATGTGGTTTCATGCACTCAGACTTCCTCCTCTTAACCCGCAGGAGCTGAATTATTAAAAATTTGAGTCAGAAAATGACCCTGCTTCCCATGAAGGGCGAAGGAAGTTAATAAATTATCCCCTGAAATGTTGAGCTTCAGTAATGCATTTCTCAGGAGAATTATAGATTTTTGTCTAGGATGGTAGCAATGAGGCTGTGACAGATTCCCTGTTCTGGTTGGTACATACGTGCCTTAGCAGGCCAAGAACAGGGAAAGGTCTGGTCACGATCAACCCTGTGCTCCAGGAAGGTAGACAAATCTTCCATCCATTTATCTGTTCATCCCTCCTTCATCTACCCTCCCTCCCTCCCTCCCTTCCTTCTCTCCTTCCTTCCTTCCTTCCTTCCTTCCTTCCTTCCTTCCTTCCCTCCTTCCTTCCTTCCTTCCTTCCTTCCTTCCTTCTTCCCTTCCTTCCTTCCTTCCTTCCTTCCTTCCTTCCCTCTTTCCTTCTTTCCCATAGTTATCTAGGGCTTGCTCTGCCAGACCCTGTTCTGAGACCCTTGGGTGTCACAGAAAAAAAAAAAAGGTAATGACACTGTTATCAACCTGACAAGTCGAATGGCTTTTATTCTAGTGCAGGGAGGAGGGGGCAGAGAATAAACCAATACACCCACGAAGAGAAGGAGGGAAGAGCAAGACGAGGGGTGCTGGGAGCTGTCTGCATGTCAGCAGGCCAGGCAGCTCTCCCAACAGAGTGACCTTTGACCAGAAACTGAGACGCGGCTGGGCGGCGACATGTCAGGATGGAGCTGCGTCCCCTGAATCCAAGCACTGAAGCTCCGCCCCCCAGTGTGACGGCAGTGGGAGCCTGTGCTCTGGGGAGGGGATTAGGGTTCGGTGAGGCCAGAGGGTGG